AAACCCACAAATACTTTTCCTGGCCTATTTTGAGAACATATGTGCTCTGTGATAATGTGACTTTATTTTACTTATACAATTGAGTGTTCATTCTGGACTTTTATGCTAGAACCTGAAGACAGATTTTAATGTCCTGAAACAGTTGGTTCTCAAAACTTAGGGTTCATGAACCATTTCAGCAGAACAAAATAAAGGTAATGACATGAACTACCTACCCCAGTCACTCCTACTTGCCAGTACCAAAAAAATAAAAACCTTCTGCAAACTATGTGTCTTTAACTTGTGCCCACCATCGGCTTAGTATTGCTAGTTATATGAGTAGTACTGGGAAATTATATGACACAAACTATGCCCTTGAGTGAATATCTAGTTGGAGAGGCTGTTAATACTAGAACAAACAACATTACAAGGCAGTCTATGTATAATTAAGTGCTAAACTGTATAGGACATAGTGTCATATAGGAATTTGGGGAAAGGAGGATCAATTATTGTGGACTGGTACATTCTGAGAAGACTATAGACAAGGTTGGGATAAGAATTTACAATATGGGATTATTGTTGGGATTAAGTGAGAGAACATATATGAAGTATAATAATAATGCTACCAGCTTATTTGTATAGTTCTTTATAACTTATAAAAGTTTCACACAGTTATTTCATTTTGATCCTCATAGAAACTCTGTGAAATAGGTAGGACAGGTGACATTTTCATCTTACAGATCAAGAAACTGAGACTGAGAGGTGTGACTTGCCTGGGATCACACAGCTAACAAGCCCTCTCCCCCAAGGGGCTCTAGCCTGGGCTCCCACAGATCTAGATTTATCTTGGGGGGAAGTAACTAGAGAAGTCTCTGAAACAAAGTTTAGTTATGACTCATATTTAGGGTATCCCCAAAATGTGGGGAATAAGGTCCCTTTTGAAAACATATTCAGTATACCATAGGAATATTACAGAGAGGATAGAGGTGGAGTTTTTTTCCACCATAGAAAATGCTTAGTATGTAAAAGACTCACAATCCTACATTAACAAATACAGAAACATAAAACAATGATATGCTCATTATCTTCTCTTGGGAGGTAAAAATAACTTTGTAAAAGTGTCAAGCAAACATTTCAATTTCACATTCACCTTGGACCTGTATTGCCTCAGTAATTCACCAGGGTATCATTTGGGATTTTCCACTGCAGGGTCCTCCTGGCAGTGGTCATCTTCCCTGAGAACCATTGTGTTGTTCTGGAAATTGTCTCCTGCTAGGCAGCAAACACTCACCTCAAAACCCAAGCTTTCTGACTCCAAGTGCAATAATCTTTATACGCCATGCAGCCTTTCTTGGTATATAAGGGATTTTGACTGAGCTGGGTCTTTAAAAGAGATAATTAAAAAGAAGAGCATCCCAGAGGCAACAGCATGAGTCAAAGGAATATCAAACGGTAAGACAGATAAGGAGACAGAAGCGAAATTTTTGAGTTGGTTAGTAGTGGAAGTTAAGGTTGTTGGGTTGTGGGGTTTTTTTTTTAATCATTTATAGGAAGTGGGATAGAATGGACACAGCACTAGGCTTGGGTTCAGATACCACTCCTGACAGTTACTAGTTGTGTGACCAACAGTAAGTCACCTAAACTTTCTGTTTGTTTATCCATAAAATGGGGCTGGTGTTGGTAATAGTCCATAAAGTTCTTTGCAAATTTACAAACATTACATGTGTCAGTTGCTAACATAAGTTTTATAGGTAGTCTGGGGCCAGATTATACAGGAAATGAATGCCAAGCATAAAATAGACTTTATAGTATTCAGTAAAAAACCCTTGAAGGTTGCTGAGTAGGGTGAGGACATGATGGAAACGGTTTTCCAGTAAAATTAATCTAGCAACTTATGCAGGATTTACTAGAGGATATGGGGACAAACTTCCCCAGAATTAATGGGGGAAAATGACAGTGCTTTTGAAAAGATACCAGCAAGGATGTAGTGGAACATGTGCTGGATTTGGAAACCAAAGATTTGAGTTCAAATCTCAGCTCTGCCAATTATGACATGTGTGATCTTGGGCAAATCATATCCTGTCTCTGGGCCTCAGTTACCTTTTTTTTTTTTATAGAGGGGTTGGATTAGATTAAAAAAGCATTTAGTTTGCACCTACAATGTGCTACATGCTCTGCTATTTGTTGTGGATAAAAAAACGAAAATGAAGCCATCCTTGCTCTCAGATATATTTGATCTGGGTAGGCATGCACACATATAAGTATATACAAAATATATAAAAACCAAAGGGTAATAGGAGATGGTTAATCAGGTGGGGAGAGGTAGGAGAGGGCTCTTGAGATGAGCTTTGAAGCAAACTAGAGATTCAGAATGGTGGAGATGTGGAAACAGTGCAAAAGCCACCGAGATGGAATGTCACACATGAGGGAAAGCAAGGCTGAGCAATTTGACTGGACCATGGAGTAATGTATAACAAGGCTTGAAAGGCTTGAAATACCACACAGGAATTTGTCTTATGAATATGATCAAGAAGCCTCTAAAATGAAGAGAGGGAGAGAATAACAGGTATCACATAGAAAGGATAGCTGAAAAGAAGATCAAGTCATTTATGGAAAACAGTGTCTGAAAGCTAGCAAATTAAACCCATAAACTCAGATGTCTCTACACAGAAAGCAGAAAGTATGGGTAATAAACAGGATAAACTAGAGATCCTAACGTAAGGAAACGAGTTTTATCTTCTGGGCATCACTGAAACTAGAACTTGTGCCTGAGTACGGCTCTGGAAAGATAAGTCTTGTACAAAAGGAATAGACTAGATAAAAGGGGTGGTGGTGAAGCATTGTTTGTAGCAATAAGACCCATTTAGGAGGAAATTCAAGAACCCAAGGAGTTGATGCTGAGTCAAGACAATGCATTGATGAAACATGTAAGGTTAAATGTAAATAAAATTTTAACTCCCTGAGAACAGGGACTATTTTGGTTTTATATCCCCAACACATAAAGCAGTACCTGGAACATTATAGATGCTTAAAAAATACTTTTTGAATGATTAAGTCCTCACCATAGGAGAAAAAGAAGTGATATTGTCACTGAAGTATACTATAGAATTGAAGGAGGAGTTAAATGAGGGATTTGGGAAGAGGATCACAAATCTGGTGTGAAGGAATGATGTCCTAGCAATGAGAGATTTCGACACTAAATATCTACTGGAGTTCTCTTTCTGCTGCAAGCAGAATGGCTGAGAAACTTGTGGCTTGCCTTTATGGTAATTTCATCCTTCTGAAAGGACGGCACCAAGTGCTGAAATAGAAAGGAAAGGAATCTTTGAATTCATACAGCTTATGATCAAGGAGAGGAAAGATATCACCTTAGATTTTGGCAGAACAGATTTCAAAGAGTTCACACTGATGATAGGCAGGATCCAGTGGCTTCATATAAGAGTAGTTGGCCCAAGAGGGATAGAAAACTCTCAAGAAAGAAACCCTGAAGATAAAAAGAGAAGTTATTCCAAAGAGGTGAAGAAAAGGGAGCTGCATGAAGAGAACCCACTAACCATTCCAGATTTTTAAAAGTTATATAAAAGATGGAAGAGGGAGTAGGTGATTTGAGGATGAATACAAAAGACTGGTATATTTCCATAAGAATCATTTTTAGAAGCACTAACACTCAGAATGGCTGAGACTGATTAAGAATACTAAGGATAATAAAGAAGGGTTTCCTGGGATTTTTAAAAAAAGTTGTGTTGAAGTAAAAGGAAATATCGAAGAAAGGATAGGATTTCTACTTATTAGAGTATTTTGGGTAGCGAGAAGGCCAAACTATTCAACTCTTATTTTGTTTAATGTCTTCTGTGCCAAGAAGAATTGTTCTTTGGAGTGGAAATGATAGAATTTTTTTTTAGGTTAAGAGGGAGTTAAAACTAAAGTAAGATGATAATATAATAACTGTCTTGAATGAATCAAGTCACCAGAATTAGATGGACTGTGTCATCTGGTATTGAAAGAACTAGGCAATTAAATTGGCAGTGTAATTGAGTAACTGTCAGTGACTGGGAAGATGTGGCTAGGCAGTAGTTCATGTGAGGAGAAAAAAGATCTGGAGATTCTTTATTGTCCTTAGTATTCTTAATCAGTCTCAGCCATTCTGAGTGTTAGTGCTTCTAAAAATGATTCTTATTTAGTAAGCCGCAACTCAATGAGTCAACTCCTTTTTTTTTCCAAAGATATATAATGATAGTGGCCATACCAGAGTACATTAAGGGGCAGCTTCCAGAACGAGAGGGGTCATTGTTCTTCTGATCAGACCCATACCTAGAACACCGTGTTCACTTCTGAAAGCCACATGTTAGGAATGGCATAGACAAAGTAAAGCATATCCTGGTGGTGGCCGGATTTTGGAAACTGTGTTATATGAGGATTGGTCAGAGTTGGGTATGGTAGGGGGAAGGGAAAGAAGAGGTCCAAATGGACATCTGGCCAGTGGTTAGATTATAACCTCTGTGAGCTACACTGAAGTTAGGTGATAGAGGGACCGGTTCCTGGTACAGAAGTGAGGAGTCGGGAACTGAACAGTAAAGGCAGCAGGGAGGAATATTAGAATATCAGGGTAGGTAGAGTTGTATTGGCAATAAATGTATTACTGATCATCTTCAGGAGAGTGAGATTCAACCATCTTCCCACCTCTGATTGGTTGATCACATACCCCTTGCATCAGGCCCTACTTTGAAGATCACTGATCTAGACCACTGATTTAAAGAGCCGTTTTTAACAGTTCTTACCCTTTTCCTTAACAATACCTCAGGATAGATGATCATGTGTCCTTGCCATAGGAGTAATCCATTGTTGTGTTAAGTAGACATTTACAGGACCCACCGTCTTGAAGTTTTTGTTTTTGTTTTACTAAATTGGGAAAATAAAACATTTTGAGGCTAAAATTGGATTTCTGTTAACAGTGTTTCATGTTCTAGATAAATTTCAGATGAAATTAGGAATAATTGTTGGCACTCAACTTTCTTTTTCAGACCACCAAAGCTTTTCTTCCTACAATGCTGGAGATTAATCATGGTCACATTGTGACAGTTGCAAGTTCCCTAGGATTGTTCAGTACTGCTGGAGTTGAGGTTTGTCAACTACAAATCATTTTCTTCTGTTAAATCTGTATATTTTAAGTGTCAAGTCCACTTGTAGCAATAAGGTTAACTACTGTTTAAACAATTCATAGCCCATTAAGGACTCCTTCCAACCCCCACCTCAAAGGATTTCTGGTCTTGCTAGTTAGAATGAGAATGAGACTGAGACTTTTTGCAAAATTTCCCTTAAGAATCTAAACTTTTATCACAATTGACAGCAGTTATCAGTACTTAAACCTGTCAGTTTGTGCTAGTACTGGTCCAGATAGAAGGACAAGTACTGATTCTTCCTGGGTGTCAGGGACGTTAATGGCCCTGATTTGTAACTGCTAATGCTGAACCTTGGCCAGGGTTTGCCATCCCAGGCAGGACACTTGCAGTCCCATCCAAACAGCACCTGTAAAGTGTCAGTCACCGTACAACACATTGGTGACACCAGAGAACAAATCTCCCCCATTCCTTCCCCTGAACCTCCACCCCAACCATGCTGCCAAGGAGCCTACGCTCTGCCAGGGGTGCCAGGGAGGGGATACAGCATGTACAGAGATAAATATGTACAGGGTAATTTGAGGAGGTAGAAGCAAGCCTTAACAATCAAGCGACCCAGAAAAGCCCTCCCAGTGGAGATGGTCCATAAGCTGACCCCTGAACGAAGTTACTAAGGCAAAGAAGCAGAAGCCAGGTCAAGTCCTTATTAAAATGGATGGTGGAGACACATAATACTTACTCAGGTTAATTCATCCCTGTTTCAGTGGATCAGAAGGGGAAGCTATGGTACATGGAGATGTAACCCATAAACCTCCCAAGACTACCTTTTCATTTAAAATGACCTTCCTAATCACATACTAATTTTATTTTTTTTATATTTTTTTAAAATTACATATAAAGACAATTTTTAAAAATTCTTTTTTTTTTAAAATTGAGTTCCAAATTCTCTCCCTCCCTTCTTTTCTCCTCTCCCCCCTCATTGAGAAGGAAAACAATTTGGTATAGGTTATACATCACAAATTAATTTTAAAAGTGAGCATGGTACAGTGTTGGGTGTTATTAAGCATATAAAAGGGCCACTGTGTCTTCCCTGCAGAATTCTAGAAGATAAAGTAGAAAACATAAGTGCAGATGAACATGTTAAGAGAACAGGCTGAACACGACAGCTTTAAATCCAGGCTTATGAAAAAATAAATCTTTTCTACTATGGTCAGGGAGGTAAAAGTCCTGGTTCTGGTCTTCAGGTGTAGGTAATGAGGAAGGACATCCTTTTCACTATGCTGGGGGCATGAGTTTCCTAAATTAGTGTTAACTTGAAGCCAAGCTATTTAATATTTTTTCATTTGAACTTTAGCTTTAAAAAAAAGTCAGAGACTCAAACAAGTTATACTCTAAGCTAGACTAGTCTGCTTTGTTCTAGCCTTAATTTAAACAAACTGGTTTTTCAGTCTCATTTACTGAACAAGAGACCATTTGTCAACTTTTCAGACACTTCAAAGGCAGCCTCTCTCCATTTTTAACTTTAGCTTGTTAGCTTTCATAGAATCTTTGTGGTAACTTCCCCAAAGTAATGTGATACGTAGTAGCTGTGGCCAAAAAAAAATAAATAAATAAAAAGTTCATCTATTTCTGCTGTCACTTTGGAAATCTTATTTCTGCACTGACCCAAATCAAATATCTGCCATGAAAATAGTTTCCTTTTCTTTGTTCATTCACCTGTAACATATCAGACATCTAACTAAAGTTAATGGGACTGGTGCATTTAGTCTGCTTTGACTTGTGGACACTTCTTAGTATTTCTATTCTTGCCTCTAACACAGGATTATTGTGCGAGCAAATTTGGAGTTGTGGGTTTTCATGAATCCCTGAGCCATGAGCTAAAGGCTGCTGAAAAGGATGGAATTAAAACAACATTAGTTTGTCCTTACCTTGTAGATACTGGTATGTTCAGAGGCTGCAGAATCAGGTGAGAAAAACCCACCTTTCTCCTTTTCTATAAAAGAGGGCAGGAGGTGAGGGGGAGAGTAAAGTCATCCTTGAACTTGGTATGGTTTTTCAGACATTTATAGCCTACCTTGTCACCGTAACTATTAGACAGTAATTACTATTTCACACATAAGAAAACTCATTTGTATGTATTAAAATTAAAGTACAGGACTAAAGCATCATATTGATAAGCTCACAAAAGTTAATATGAAATTATCTATCAAATAGGAAAATTGTTAGGAAAGCACTCTCTGTCCTGAAGAGTCAACCTAAGCATCAAAGGTTTCTCTTAGAGGTTATTTTTTTAAAGGTCTCACCTATATTTTATTCAAAATTTCATTGGCCAGAGAAGGCTCACTCTCTCTATTACAGATTCCTTGTTTCCAAATGATAGGAAGCATACCTATAACATCAAGACAGAATGTATCAAGGTGACTCCTAATTTTTGTTTTAAGACAAACAATTGCAAGATTCTTAGAGGTTATTTCTAGAGAAATAACTTCGTTTCTATATTAGTGTAAGTAAGGGCAACAGTGGGCAGCAGCTTTATTTAATGTGGGTTTTGATCGTATAGAACATAACTGACGACAGCAGAGTAAAAAGACGCATTTCTTCCGAGTGGGTCCCAGCCGAGCGGTTGGAGGCCACCTGCTTTCTTAGAGAAAGGTGAGAGAAGGTGCTTCTCTTCCCTAGTGATCGGATCTAGAATGTCCCATGTGGAAAGAGCCTGGAGTGGCTCTCTCTAACTTGAGCTAAGGACTGACCCTACAGCCCGTCCATAAGAAGATGAATGAGAGGCTTTGAGAAGTTTGTTTAAATGACTTTGAGCAAAGAAAGACAACTGAACTTGTTGAGCTTGGTCAGAGCTTGTTCTTAACATGTTGCTTTTTAACTTCAACATTCCATCAAAGCAGGTGGGTGGAAGACTATTGCCACATTTGCAAATGGGACACAGTTAAATGATTTGTTCCATTCTTAAAAATGAGTCAGAACAGAGTAGGATATAAATAGCCTGACTCCTAATTCAATCATGTTTTCTTTTTTTCAATTTTGTTTTTGTTTTACTCTAAGTACTCAGCTGATGCTGTGGATTTTGAGAAGCTCTCTGCAGCACTGAGCATGATGACAAGTGGGGATTTAATTAGCATAGTCACTTTTCAGTTAACCACATTAACAGAGAAAGGAAGAAATAGTGAGTTCAAAGTAACAGTTTCTCCAAAGATGATATACATTCGGAGATGGTATAGACTCAAACATCCATAGGCACACACCACCTCAAACTTGAACTTTACTTCATCAGCCATGGATTTGATGGCTGTTAGTGGGGAAATGGATGATAACCTTAAAAAAAAATAGTTCACCAACCTAGTGGGGAGAGCACTGGAAGAGGAGCCGAGGAGCCTGAGCTCCACTTCAGCTCTGCCTCTGGCCATTGGTATGCCTTTGGTCAAGTCACTTCCCATTTTTTGTTTGTTTGGTTTTTTTTTTATTAAAATGAGAGGAATGGACTAAATAACATTAACAGAGTAAATGTTCTTAGACTACTTAAGAAAATATTTTAGCATTTGTTCTTCGGTAATTTAAAGAAAGGTTCATCTCTCACAATACCCCAAGCTTTGCCACTGCTCCAACAACAAACATCACCTCCATGTTTAGTGTTTATACCTCACCTAAGTACAACCTCAGCCTTAGCCTTGGCCTTCTCTGGAGAGGCTACAAAAATAATTTGAAGGAATGTTTTTTAGCTTTATGGTTTTTATTAGATTTGACTATGTTGTACTTTACTAGAAAACAGAGATGCTTGGCTTTTGTTCTGATTTTAGTTGTTTTTTTTTTTTAAATATACCATTTCCAGGAAAGAAATTGAGCCTTTTCTGCCACCTTTAAAGCCAGATTATTGTGTGAAACAGGCCATGAAGGCCATCCTCACAGACCAGCCCATGATTTGCACCCCTCGCCTCATGTACATTGTAACTTTCATGAAGAGGTAACTTTTAGAATCTCTTTGCGTGCAACATTGTCAACCTGGATGTCTTCTACTCCAGATGTTTTCTGAAACTAAGGTTCTGTTTTTAAAATGATCTAATCTCCTTTCCTTTTCAGCATCCTACCTTTTGAAGCAGTCGTCTGCATGTATCGATTCTTAGGAGCAGACAAGTGCATGTACCCCTTCATTGCGCAAAGAAAACAAGCTACAAACAACAATGAAGCAAAAAATGGAATTTAAGAATGTTTGGTCCAGATTGTCATTTGGAGCTGAAGACGATCAAAATGTTTCAAAGTGATGCACATCAGCATCTATCCTGACATTTTCTGGATCCTAAGCCTGTGTGAACTTTTAGAAATCAAACTTTTTTTCTTTAATAGATTGTAAATTAACTGACTAGAGTACTTGGAAAATGTGATAGGCAAAAATGAACTTAAGTAGCTGCCAACAGTGTCCTTTAGTGAGGACATTAAAACCAGTAACATTTTTTATAGAAATGCACTGTGAGCTATCTTCAGACTATCATTGTTGTTGAAAATGAAGAAAAAGTCTAGAGATAGTAACTTTGGTGTATTTCAGGTGTTTTTCTTCAAAATTTCTCCAGGATTTATAAATTCATGCAGTTGAGAACTCCTTTCAGCCAACTTTTTGCAATTTTAAAGAATGATGGCAGTACTATTCTCCTTACTTGTACTCATTAGCTCTGATTTGCAAAAGTGGTGGTTGGGCTGTTTTCATATGTGCATGTATCTTCAACTGTTTGCAAAAAAATAATTTTTAAATCTCCACCTATTCAAAGCTAAAATAATGTTCTTGAGTGTTATGGTAGAAAGCTGAACAGGTCTCTTCTATTAAAAGTTACAATAAATTTTCTAAGCCTAATTCCAAATTTTATATTTGAAAAACTTTATTAGGTGTCTATCCATCACTCTGGAGACCTAGCTGTTTAGGAAAACTTTACATTTTTCTACCTATGAATTTTGCTGCATAAAGTGTCCTTCCCCCAGGAAGTTGCTGTATTTATATTTCTTTACCTGGATTCATGCCTAAAGTACATAGCAGCTCATCAAAGCAACAGTTTATATAAAATTCCCATTTTTGTGCCAACTATGATTAGTAAGGAAAAAAAAAACTTACTCTCTGGAGTGTGAAAGGGTGTAAAGATTCTTTCAGAAGTTTTATTCAAATTGTAGAACAGCAGATGACATTTTTACAGTATTTTTTTGTAAAGGAAACTATTTTGTGCCTTGAATTTGGTATCTGTGTATTAGTGAAACATTGTAAAAGTGAACTTCTACCTCTGTATCTAAATGTGTACCATTCACTTGTAAATTACTATAAACTATTCTGTGATTACTTTTTTAGAATGTCTCGTTTAAATAGTGACCAATGTCTATGGTTATTAAAGAAAGCCATCTTTTATTAAATGATTGGGAAGTTTTGTAAAAGACTGATTAAATTGAAAGAACTAACTTCCAGATAACTGATTGTATGCCTGTCCGTGATTGACTGTGCTGTTGGGAAACACTGTCTTTTTTGTACACCAAGTTCTCTCTTAGGCTTTTTAAAATATTTGGGTGAGATGATTTTGCTAAATACATTTGTTAATATTCTCTCTACTCGAGTCTTTTTAAATATTTCATACTGAATGTAGAAAAACAGGAGTTAGAAAAAAAGAGTAAAACTCCACCAAACAGCACTCTTGTTACGTGGATTCAGTTATACTACAGATCAGCTCAATGGAACATATGCTAATCCTTCACCAAGGGCTGTGGTGAAGCCTTCTCCAATACCAGGATCAGAGAGGCCCTACCAGATAACCTCTATATGTATATCTTTAAGATCTATATTAGCTATATAGATTTATGTCTATAAGATACATGTCCTATACATACAGCTTTATTTAAATGATTACACATAAGCAGTGTCATCAAAGGTATTTGCATCTTTGGTATAAATTTAAATCACAGATTTAAACAAGCAATAGAAAAATAGGATCATAAAGTTGAGTGGTTGCACCTTAAAAGGTCATTTATTGTCATTTGAAAGTCATCCAAGACAGATTAAAATCTACCTTTTTTTTTTTAATCCTCCAAAGAAAAACATTCTACAGCCCACTCCAAGATGTAACAATCTTCAAAGTAAAGAAGTTCTTTATATTCAACACAATTCCTTCCCCATGATTTAAGCATATTTCTTCAGTTTTCCTTTATTTCTTTGCTGGTTACCATCCTTGCTATTCAAGATTATCCCTCAGCTTTACCTACTCTAAGCTTGAATAATCCCAGTTTGCTTAACCTTTCCTTTTAGATTTTGTTTTCTTACATGCCACACCATTTAATCATTTTTCTAGTTCATCCTCTTTCTCCCCCAAACCACCCCACACTTCTCTGTATCCTTTTAGTTACCTTTAGCTGTTAAGAGGCAGCTAGGTGGCACAGGAGATAGAACAGTGGACCTGGAGTCAGGAAGACCAGAGTTCAAATCTAGCCTCAAACACTTGTGGGCTGTGTGACCCTGGGCAAGTCACATAACCCCTCTCTGCCTGTTTCCTCAACTGTAAGATGGAAATAATAATAGCACCTTCCTGGCAGGATGGTTGTGAGGATCAAGTAAGATAATATTTGTAAATCATTTAGTGCAGTGCCTGGCAAATAGGTGTTTTCTATCCCTTCCCCTTTACTCCATTATAGAATTTTGAACTAAATAATCAAAGTTGAGTCTGATGGAAAGTACGGTTGTTGACATGTTAGGTCTAGATTGAACCAGGAAGCCTGGAAGTTCCCTCTGTAGCTTGAGGTTCTGAGGTTCTCTGCTCCGTCATCCATAACAGTTCCACTCTCTATACTACATAGGTATCTCAATAGCAGGCTTTAAAGATAATGCTATATCACACACGATTCTTCTTTCTGGTTTCCATCTTTCAGCCATACTTGTTCCTGATCATGTCCCCATGTGTTAAAGTTACTTCTAATTCAGATTCACTGACTTTGTGTTTTCTTTTCCATCATCTTAGTATATTAGGTCATTTTTTTTCTAATATTTTAAATGAAACTTACGACGCTTCCTTAGCTGAGTCACCTTTTTCTCTAGTTAAAAATAAACACTACATCAATTCCGTGTTCCTGGCCCTACACAATAAATGAGTGCATAGTTGAGTCAATCACATCTCTTGGACCAGTTTAGAATTGGGAAGATATCTCCTAAAATGAGTCAGTTAATTTGCATCATCTTTGTGATCAAGTGAAATGATTAAAGTCAAAATTACCAGGTAATAGGGATATCCAATAATCTCAGTAAAGGCACTAATACAATCATGGGTTGTTTTTTTTTTCCATGTCAGAGGCCCTGCCTTTGAAAGAGAGGTCAGTAAGACCAAGTCTGCTGTGAACTGGAAAAACTTGGGGGTCAGACTCCATTCTACTTCTTTTTCCAAGAGTGACACAACTCAGAATTGGGCCCCCAACCCTGCCTCCACACCCCAAAGTGAGACCAAATTTAAGGCATAAGCTACTTCTGCCTTTTCCTGGGCATGATCCATTCTCAGATTGAGTGCTAGCAGTATTTTCCCCAACTGGCCCCTAGGCCCAAAGGAATGGGGATTGCCACTAGGGTCAGTAATGTTGGTAGATGACACATATAGCCACAACACCAATGTTAGGTTTCTAGGTACAGAACCTATTCAATTGTTAAAAAATAAGAAGGAAAATTTCTTCACTAGCAGAACCTGTACATCTTTGTTGTTTTTGTTTGTGTGTGTGTTTTGGGGGAGGGGGGTTGGCAGATTCTCTGAATCATACCTTGTTTAAATGTGAAGACTTGTGAGAACTCTTGGGTTTAGGAAAATGCTTTTCAAATGTCACCAAATGAATATAGGTTCAGTTTAATGGACCACTTTTGTACTCTAAGCGATGTGACAGAGGACCTGCCACTATCAGTCTTTTAAAATACAATTTCCTATCTGATTACTTGTTAAATCACTAAAAATCACCTTGCCAGGAGCTGCCCAGGGACAAATTTCCTGTGATGAACTTTACATCCATTTTACTCCCCTGATACCTCACCAAATAGCACAGAGCTTTGAGGCAGAGTGGGAAGTATCCATCAGCCTGGACTGTGTTGTGAACCTCGGGCTTGAATTTCATATATTATGATAGCTACTTTAGGTTTGATTTAATTGGTTCAAAACACTTAAAATATTCAGAACTGTCTCCTTAGATGAAAAATACAAAATGCTGCCACAGTTTTCAGAATTATGCTCTCAAAATAATAGTTTCCACTGTGAGTTCTTGAGTAGATCGTAACCCTCCAGGAGCTTCTGACAAGAGTTCCAAGGCTTTTAGTTATGAGCATAGTAAAAACTTCCTGTTCTCAGCTAAAGGCAGCTGGCTGGTGAGTAAGGCAGATATGAAGAAGGAAATTGACTATCAAGAGCAGTAAAGCCTCTTTAGCCCAGACTCTCAGGTAATTAAAAACACATCGATATGACACTGCGCTTGCATAACATTCATGCACATTCCCCACTTTCTGGCCATTCAGATTGGTCTACCTCCTGTCCACTTCGAGCTCTCAGTGGTCAAGAGGGAGAGGAGTAATCAGAGCCTAGTTGGCCCTACTCACTCCACCGCCATTCACACACACCTTTCCTTCATACTAACCCAGCCTGTTTTTTTGTTTGTTTCTTTTGTGGAATCTAGGCCTGACTAGCTAGGAAAAGAGGGTCTTTGGTTCTGAATATGGAAATACACATCATCTCTGGTGACTTTCATCCAGAAGATGATACCCTTTCATTTTTTTTTCTTTTTGAACTAAATCCTTGATTTCATTGATATAGGGATCTCCAACTATTCGGTAGGTCTTAGAGACTTAAAGCAGTAAAGGGTTAAATAACTTCCCCAAAGTCATGCAGGCAGGATGTGACTTGAACCAACTCTTCTTGACTTCAAGACCAGCTCTATCTATTGCACCTCATTGCCTTTTGCATATCACTGGATAATAAGATCACTTTATAAGTAGAGAAAATGGTTTGCCTCTGCTTTACCTGAGACATGAAACTCTCCTAAATCTCCAGCTAGGTGGCTTTTGGACTAGGGGATGCAGTGGATAGAGTGTTGCATTGAAATCAGGAAGACCAGTTCAAATCCAACTTCAGACACTTGTTTGCTGTGTGACCCTGGGCAAACCACTTAACCTCTCTCTGCTTCAGTTTCCTCATATGTAAAATAGAAATATTAATAACACCTACACACTATGGTTGTTGTGAAGATAAAATGAGATAATATTTATAAAACACTATATAAATACTAGCTAATATCCCCAGTATTCTAATATTACTTGGGGTTTGGGGCTCCTCTTGCATTTCTTTAAAGGGGTTCCTGCAGGCCTTTTGGTATTTTCTACCTGGGTTCCTTTTTATACATTCTCTCCTTAAATGGGGCAAATTTAGAATGCAAAAACAAAAAAAAATTTTAAAAAGAATGCACAAACATTTTACCTTGGAGTAGAGCATTCCCCAATAGGCTGCTCCAGGAAATGCATAAAAAGGAAGTTTTCTCCCAGTCCCTCAGAACAGCTAATCAATGAGTTGATTAGGATGACAAAACCTAATTCATCCATACTACCTGTACAAGTTCAAGAAACAAGTATTGGAGTTGTTTTAAATGAAAAAAAAATCTGACCTAACTTGCCTCTGATTTGGAGAGCATTTGAGATTTGGAATAACTGAGAACATGGTTTGATCAGAAAAGCTTATCCTTTTAGAAGGAAAATCTCCATTTCCCCAGCTCTTTCTTATAAAATGAGTTCTCTTTTTTCCAGATGCTACATTTTATTTTTGGTATCTTTTTTCCTAACTTCAACAATGGGGAGGTGTTGTCAGTTTTCCTGGGACCTACCTCAGGAAGCTGAGCTGTCTGTGAAATTTTTGGAACTGGACCCAAAATGATTCTCTCACAAGGGACCCCCTAACACAATCTGCTGCCCTCAGCATTCCTAAAGTACAGGGCCTGGAGGATTGAGGGAATCGGGAAGCAAAGAAACTGGCCAGAAAGTAAAGAAATGAATACTGCTGTCACTGAAGGAACAAGATGGAGCAAAAAGCTAAGCCCCATGGGGAGATTCCCTAACCACAGCTCCTCCAGCTGCTACAACTTCCTGCTCAGGCATGGCCTGGGGTTTGTCCCTGAAGATAATTCTCACAGCAGTCTGAAAGGCTAAAGAACCATTTCCTCTTCTTACCTGCTAAAGATGCAATGTTGAATTTGAATGTGTTGCAGAAGAGCTGAACAACTTGGCTTAGTGTATCCACAGTCATAAAATTATAGATTTAGAGTTGCAAGGATCTTGGAGGTCATCAAGCCACAGCCTTTCCTTTTCACAGAGAAGGAAACTGAGGCCCATAGCAGTGAAGTGACTTGCGTAGAGTCATATAGGTAGCAAAAGTTCTGTGAGACTCAGTTTCCTTCTTTTGGGCTTAGGTTTTAGAAACTTGTG